GCAGCCCTTAAATATTTGAGAGAGAGAGAGAGAGATATATATATATATATAGATATATATGTAGATGTATTTTTACAATAATACACGCATGTTCAATAATCAACGTCGCACTTCATTTTATTTGTGGAGGATTTTGCGCATAGTCTTGTTGCATTTGTTGTTTTCCATGCCGTACGTCGTTTCCGATGCTGTATGGATAATAAACGGATAAGTTGTAAAAAATATGTTGATAACACATGGAAAATGAGTGGATGATAAATGGATAATATAAAGAAAATACGTGGACACTAAATTGATAATATCTACATATTTGATTTAATTTGGAAAATATTTGGCGAGTAAACTGGAAATAAATGGAAACTCAGGAAATGAACGGATTATAAATGGATACTCAATTTATAAAAAAAATTAAATGGATTTCGTATTGCCTGTTTCTACTTCAAACAGATTGGACAAGGAATTTTGTATGGCCTATCTTTCTACTTTGCTTTTGGTCCTAGATACTGGCCTTATGTTGAGTCTATACTGAAAAATGCTGCCCTTGCTTTTGGTCCCAGACGCTGGCCTTTTGTTGGAGGAGGGATTTCGCATTGCCTTTTTTCAACTTTAAACATCTTGGAGGAGGGATTTCCGATGGATAGCACATGGATGAACAATTGGTAAAAAAGGGATAGTATTCTTATATGGATAAAGCATGGATGGTACATGGATAATGCATAAAGCCAAATGGATAATAGCTGGATATAATGGCTGAACAATGGATAATATTTGGACATTTGGACGGAAATGTGAAACTTTATGGAAGGAAACTGATAATATATGGAAGCAATAAAAAAAAATATTGGACGATATATGTATGGCATATGGATGAAACAATGATGACAGAATGGAAAATACATGGAAAATAAATTGCTAGTACATCGATAACAAACGGACGAGCACAAGACAATATGTGGTGATATATGGGTAGCAAATGGATAATTAATGGATGATAGATTGATAATAGCTAAATCCAATGCATGATTAATGCCAAATACATGAATAAACAATTGACAACAAATGGATAAACAATGATTAAACGGATAATAAATGGACAATGAATGGATACTATACATGGATAAAACATGGATAACTTATGGATAACACGTTGATCGCAAATCGATATTGAATGTGTTATATGGACGCTAAATTAAGAATAATAGATGGATAAAATATGGATGGTATGTGGGTAGAATTGCTCAAAATCTTTTCAATTGCTCGAAAATGGCTTGCTATAGACCAAAACAAGTATTCAAACGCAATGGGCCTGGCCAGAAAAGTTTGCTCAAAATTGGCCTAAGGATTGCGTCTAGACTAAAACAAATATTAAAATAAAATGGGCAAAAACGTTACGACCTAGCTTCAATCTCCATAATTTGTGAATTCCAATTGTGCAGGAATGACATGTAGATTGAAAGGACTATTCAAATATACAAATTGCTGGCCGAACAAATTCCGCTCAAAATCGCTCAAAATCGCTCAAAATTGCTCAAAATTGCTCAAAATTGCAAAATTGCAAAATTGCTCAAAATCAACTCAAAATGTCTCAAAATGTCTCATACCTGCCCCAAAAATCCGCTCAAAATTGCTCAAAATTGCTCAAAATCGATTCAAAATGTCTCAAAATGTCTCATACTTGCCCCAAAAATCCACTCAAAATTGCTCAAAATTGCTCAAAATGTCTCAAAATGTCTCAAAATGTCTCAAAATGTCTCAAAATGAGTTTTGAGAAAAATTGAGTTGATTTTGAGACATTTTGAGACATTTTGAGACATATTGGGACAGATTGAGACATTTTGAAGCAAACTGGTAGTTGCTGACAGTGCCAAAGGCATGAAAAAATGTAACGCTGTTGCAAACTTTTTGAAACCGAAAGCAAACAGATGTGAATATTTACAAAAAAAATTGATGAAATGGTGCTTTTGCTTATAGTACCGCAGCATGAATACTTACAGAAAAGTTTGATGAAACACTGTTTTTTGCTTATAGTACCGCAGCGTGAATGCTTACAGAAAAGTTTCATGAAACACTGTTTTTGCTTATAGTACCGTAGCGTGAATACTTACAGAAAAAAATTTTCCGCGCTGCGCGCGGAATTTTCTTGACCTTAAGCTTGAAGGTTGCAACATGGAAAACATTTGGAAAAGAGTTTATACAAGAGTGCCGTGGCAAGAGTGCCTGCCTGCATGTCAGGTATGCTCAATTTAGCGCTCATCTCCAGTAGTAGCGTCTTGTAAGAGTGTCCCAAAACTGTGTCATAGCATCATAGCAGAAGTGTTGCTATTTAATGGACATAATCTGCCCTAAATTTATGGACACAACCTGCCACTAATTTATGCACATAACCTGCCACGAATATGGACATTACCTGCCAGTAATTTACCGACGTAGCCTGCCAATTTATGAACATAACCTGCAACCAATCTATGGGCATCACGCCGAACCCGGGTGGATCTGTCAAGCGGGGCAGCCGTGTCTTGCAAGAGTGTCCACAAGAGTGTCGTGGCAAGAGTTTCTTGCTGTCCCGCAAGAGTGTCCCATAGCCTGCCACTAATTTATGGACATAACCTGCCACTATTCTATGGAAATTACCTGCCAATAGTTTATGGACGCGACCTGCCATTAATTTATGGACATAACCGGCCAAGAATTTATGGACGTAACCTGCCACTAATTTATGGGCATAACCTACCACTAATTTGTGGCCTTAACGCCGACCATGGATGTATCAGTCAACTGGAGCAGCAGTGTCTCGCGAGAGTGTCCACAAGAGTATCGTGGCAAGAGTGCCTGCCTAAAAGTGAGGTATGCTAAATTTAGTGTGCCTAAATGGAATTAATGGAGTTTAGGTATGCATGTTTAGGCTTGCCTAGAAGTGAGGTATGCTAAATTTAGTGTCCCTAAGTGCCATTTATAGAGTTTAGGGATGAAAAAATGGCGTCGCCTAAGATTTGCCACTCTTTGCACTCCAAGTGCTGTTCCTTCCACTGTCGCCGTCGTCGCTTGAGCCATAAAACGAAAACAGTTTTTTCAACCTTTTCGTGAAGGATGTTTCTAGGGTGTGAGGGTCTGCTTTGGTAATTTTCCCGTTGGTTTGGTACTGCTTTGGGGATTAAAAAGGGGCGACTTTTTAGCCCCAAAAAGGGGCTCCAAAAATAGGTCAAAAAGGCGCCCCCCAAAGTCCCAAACCAAACGGAAAATTACTAGTCTGCTTATTGGTTCTTTCGCTCCCCTCATCATCCTAGCTCCCCCTTCTGTCGCTACACGCATTACAGTGGCAACGGCCAGATGAAGTGAGGATGCAGACAACCGTATTAGCTAACCAAGTGAAGCCACGAACCTGGATGCCAAGAACAAAAATCCTACCCTGCAGAAAAAGGATCCTAAATAAAATATATATAAAAACAAATCTTGTAACCCTCCTAAAGGCTCCCGGCGGAGTGGATGAAGACGTGACACAGACAAGGGGGTGACACAATGGGGTAAGGGAAGCTATTAATAAATTAGTGGCAAGTTATGCCCATAAATTAGTGGCAGGTTATGCCCACAAATTAGTGGCAAGTTACGTCCATAAATTAATGGCAGGTTATGTCCGTACAATTAGTGGCAGGGTATGTCCAGAAATTAGTGGCAGCCTGTGGGACAACCTTGTGGTGTGGACACTCTCGCAAGACACTGCTGCCCGAGTTGACTGATCCATCCGGGGTCGGCGTTATGTCTGTAGATTAGTGGTAGGTTATGCCCATAGATTAGTTGCTATGCCAATCAATTAGTGGCAGGTTATGTCGATAAAATCTTGGCAGGTTGTGTCCATAAAGTAGTGGCAGGTTATGTCCAAAAATTACTGGAAGGTAATGTCCATAGATTAGTGGCAGGCTATGTCCGTAAATTAGTGGCAGGCTGTGTCCATAAATGAGCGGCGCTCCCGCTATGATTTTGTGACACTCTTCTGGGACACTTTTACACGACACTCGTACTGGAAATAACCGCTACATTTTGCATACCTGACTTTTAGGCAAGCTTGAAAATGCAAACCTAATAAGTAATATTATATTAAATTAAACAAGATCTATGTGCTTTGACAAGGGACATTTATATTCTGGGAGCAACATCGATACTCATTGTTTTAAGACAACAAAAGATCACAAAAATGACAACAATGACAGCACATGACAAACAAATAACAAACAAGGACAAAATTGACAACCCTGAGGCTCGAAGTTAAGGCCTCGAAGTTAAGGTGTGATTCCATTTTGGTGATAAAAATGGAAAATGGATGGACCATACGTGGTTCATGCAATCATAATTTCCATGCTAAACAGGTCAAATCCATGCCCAGTTTCTCTCATCAGTTCATACAGTTGACACAAATGACTCAGCTGCACACTGAGCTGGCCAACGTAATCACAACGTGTTAGCATCGTGAGCAGGTAAACGTTCAATCAACGTTTTACCATATTTTAGATTTTATCTTTTTGAACATATTTTGTCTTTTTTTTAATATTTTGTAAAAAAAATATGAAACCACATTTGTTTGCACAACGTTCTGGACAACAAATTAGTCTACCAAATTTCAGATTAGCCTACCTAAATTTCAGAAATGCCTATGTCATTTTCAAATCACCTAGGCATTTCTGAGATCAGGTAGGCATTTCTGAAAGTCATGAAGGGCAAACCCCTACAAACTAATACCTTACGATCTGGGATGCTTTCTTAAGTCTGTGAATATAGTCATATATAGTCATATATAGTCATGTATAGTCATATATAGTCATATATAGTCATATATAGTATTTATAGTCATATATAGTCATATATAGTCATATATAGTCATATATAGTCATATATAGTCAATGTTTTGTTAATGGCACATATGGTGTCATTGTTAGGATCTGTTGAGAGCATTCGCGAAGATTTGCAAAGACTCAGCGGAAGATGCAGCAAAGTATTGAGATCCAGTCGGATGGGGTCCCAGCGGGCTGGGGGAGCACAGTCTTGCAGCCTCAAAATCAGAGCCATCCAAACAAGTTCATGAACAACACGGAGGGCAGTGGTGAGTGCTCATAAGCCGCTGTCTTCCGGAACTCATTGCGATACTCCTCTGGAACTGCCTGGGTTCCAAAATTCCAAAATGTGACTCGCTCAGACTTGCTGAAATTCGTTTCATCTCGTTGCCTCCGGGCGCACGCTTAGAACTTGGGCAACCTCGGCACAAGATGAACCAAGACATCCTGGACATTTCCGCTGGAAATCTGCGAAGCAATGAGAAAAGCAGTGAACCACGAGGGCCTTCACGAACATTCCACGAAGCTCCTGCATCTCGCAACAAGATGGACCAGCCGCTTTAGGAAATGCTTTAGGAAATGGATCAACCCCTTCTACCTTATGGATTCCTATGGTACCCTGGTGAATGTGCCTCCTAAATATGGCATGCCATGCACCACTGGGCATGTCCTCCACCACCTTCCGCGCTTCGGGCGCATAGAGCCCATGGAGCCGTTGGTAGCGAGCAGCACGATCCGCATCGTCACTTCCACGCCAACGTTCCAGAAAGTAGTGCGCAACCTGGTCAAAACCCAAGAATCAACGGATTGGCCCATTGGTTTAAGGGATCTATTTTATAAATCTAAAGGAACCCATGTTTTTGGTTACACGGGGGCTCGGGGGCCCTGATAATTTGTACATTTTTATCTTTTGTACATGTTGCTACTTTGATGTTGTGTAACATGAAAATGAGTTTCATGTTGGGCTTTTGACATAGAAATGTTGGACCAGGTCCTCTGTGTTCATGGCTTGAGGAGTTTTGGGGGGGTTCAGGGGGGTGGGGGGGTGGGGGTAGGGCTGCGATAACGTTCTTGATAGTACGCTCTTGATGGTTCATCTGGATGAAGTGACATACGTGTGGCTACGCTGTGCACTCTTTGTGGTACATGAGTTGATACTTTTGCTGCTACGCTCTTGATGTTTCATGTACGTGAAGTGACATAAGTGCTGATACGCTTTTCATTCTTGGGGCTTCATCTATTTCGCTTATTTCAGCTATAAGAGGACCTGGTAAAAGCTTTCGTGGGGATACCTGATACATCTGTACACTTGTATATTTTGGTAATGTTTGAGACATTGTATCATCTCACAATAGCAAAAACTTTTGGCCACGGAACTGGAAAATGGAGGATGAAGGGTCAAAAAAAGTGTTTTGGAGATGATGGAGCGCACAATTCCCTGCAAATACCATTGATAGTGTGTTTTGGACGCCGTCCTCATGGCATTTGTGGCCATTTTCGAACTATCGATGTTCACAAAACACCGCGAGGGTTCAAAAATCCACTGCACGCTGCTGAAAATGTTCATTTCGTATCATTTCGTCAGGGGCCTCGAGCCCCCGTGCTACCATGTTTCTACCCCAACTACAGAGGTTTCCTGCAGTCGAAACAAACCAGGTCCCCGAAGGATGACACAAATTTGCTGGTTGGCAGGGTACCTAATATTTTATATTTTGGATGATAAAACTTGGTTTCTGTGTCAGTTAGAACAACCCGGCGAGACATCTTCCACCAGCAACTCTGGGAACTAAAATACGAACACGGGAACAATGGGCCATCGCCGGGCAATACCACAACATGGTCGAAGGATGTCAAAGCTGTGCCATTCTTGGCCTTGGCAATTCTTTCAAGAGACTCTGTTGGGACTTGGGACACATTTGTATATCGCTTTTGCATGAGGCTCTTCGAAAACAACGTTGAAAATAAAGACACTTACCAGTAGTACCGCACAAGGCGGTGGCGGAAGTTTCAAAAATAGGAAACCTATAGGAGAGGTTGGTTGTTGTGAATCAGGGATGGCAGAGTGAAGCCACTGATGGATTGAAAGGTGCTTGATCTCTCTCACTCTTTCTCTCTCTTTCTCTGCCTATCTACCTACCTACCTATCTATTTTCTATGTATCTATCTATCTATCGATCTATCTGTCTATCGATCAATCTATCTATCTATCTCTCTCTTTCATCTAATTACCTATCTATCTATGTATCTATCTATCTATTTTTCTTTCTTTCTTTCTTTCTTTCTTTCTTTCTTTCTTTCTTTCTTTCTTTCTTTCATCTGTCTATCTGTCTAGCTGTCTGTCTGTCTATCTATCCATCTATCTATCTATCTATCTGTCTAGCTGTCTACCTGTCTATCTATCTATCTATCTATCCGAACCTCCAAAAGTGGCGCGAACATGTGGTGCTTTGTACATTTTGACTTCGTGCTTCGCGCCACAACGGCGTGCACTTTTTCAACATCCGAACCTCCAAAAGTGGCGCGAACAGGTCGTGCTTTGGACATTTTGACTTGGAAATGTGCTTCGCGCCACAACGGCGTGCACTTTTTCGACATTCTCAACTGCCAAAAGTGGTCCGGACCTGGTGTGTTTTGTACATTTTGACTTGGAAATGTGCTTCAGCCACAATGCACTTTTTCGACATCTCAACCTCCAAAAGTGGCCCGAACCGTGGTTTTGTACATTTTGACTTGGAAATGTGCTTCGCGCCACAACGGCGTGCACTTTTTCGACATCTCAACTGCCAAAAGTGGTCCGACCTGGTGTGCTTTGTACATTTTGACTTGGAAATGTGCTTCGCGCCACAACGGCGTGCACTTTTTCGACATCTCAACTTCCAAAAGTGGTCCGGAGCTGGTGTGTTTTGTGCATTTTGACTTGGAAATGTGCTTCGCGCCACAACGGCGTGCACTTTTTCGACATCTCAACTGCCAAAAGTGGTCCGCGACCTGGTGTGCTTTGTACATTTTGACTTGCAAATGTGCTTCGCGCCACAACGGCGTGCAATTTTTCATCTCTCATCTGGCCAGCTGGCTCGCACCCCGCCGCTTTAGCGAGCCTACTTTTCGACCCTCCGGAGCCCCAAATCATTGGAAAAACACTGTGTTTCGCGACTTTCCTACCTTTTCGCGCATCTCCATCTTCTTTCTTCTTACTCTTTCTCTTCTACTCTTCTTTCTAATCTCTCTGCCTCTTCCCTGCTCTGCTTTTCATCTCTCCATATTGTCGGAAGTTTGACTTCTAAACTTCCTTCGGTAATTAATAAATAGTCGACGTTTTGTGTAGGGCTTTTGGAGGTGTCTTCCCTCGTATTGCATTGTAACCCTTGCATAGCAACCCATCTATACAGGAACTTTCACTCCTGCAAAGTTGCTAACGTCAGACACCTAGACCTCAGAGCACCCAGTGCTGCCAGGCAGCAATGGGCCCCGCACGGCGCCAGAATCGGACGGAGCGTTCAAAGCTGGGATCTGTCTGATAGAGAAAGATACCTCTGCAAAAGGTCACTGTCTGATCCATGGATCAATGGATCACTGCTAACTTTGCAACATGTATCTTCAAGCCCCTGCCACTGTTTCTGCTGAAGAGATTTTCGGCAGGTCTTATCAAGTCGCCACAACTATCCCAGATCCAGCACTACACCACCGTAGACCCCAAACAGTGGGTGGATTCAAGAAGTGTTTTGAGGAACACTCTCAAAAGAATGAGAAACATTGAGAAACCACCAAGAACCCCTATTAGGCCCTAAAAGTACACTGTTTGGGGAAAATCCAAAATGAGACCACCCAAAGAAAACAAGAAGAGGGACAAGATGGGAAACAAGACCTCGGGAAGACGGACACACCATCCGACACCAAGGCGGACACCTCAAGAAAGCATTAAGAGCCCCTAACGGTACACTGTTTGCAGAAAAATTCAAAATAAAACCACCGCCAGAAAAGGAAACAAGACGAGAGACAAACTGGGAGACAAGCTGGGAGACAAGCTGAGACAAGGCCTCAGGAAGGTGGACACACCAACCAACACAGGGAAACAAGAAGGGAGACAATGGGAGACAAGAGGAAACTTCCGGAAGACGGACACGCCATCCAACACAGGCACACATGTGGGGAGACACTGGAAGACAATGGGACAGGGGGGCAATGGGAGGCAATGCGAAACAATGAGACACAAGGCCTCAATCAGGACACCATCCAGAAGACACCATCCAAAACATGTGGGGAGACAATGGAGACAAGACCTCGGGAAAGCAGGCACGCCATCCCACACAGGCACACATGTGGGGAGACAGAGAAAGGGGAGACAAGACCTCGGGAAGGCGGACGCGCCATTTAACTCAGGCAAACACGTAGGCTACTAAGAGTGAAAGCAGCAAAGTGAAATCAAATTGGACGATGATAACTGAATATCTGAATCAATAATGCCACAATCTCACAATGGCTGCCTGGCACAAGTCTTTAAAACAAATTCAATCAATCGGCCTGTGCTGCTAGCCTGATGGGAACACAAATACTGGGGTTTTTCTTGTTCTCCAGCTCCACTGGCGCCCACCAACACATAGCGAAAGGGCCACCCTGGCAGGGCACAAAACATCTTCTCCTTATTCAACTAAACATTGCATTCTTGAAACCGGCAGGCATTTAATTTAAAGTTGGTTAAACTTAAAGGCTGCTGTGCAATGCCTTGGCGATAAGCCTTCGCAGTTCCAATTTCAAAACTTGTAACTCTGGCCTTAGTGGGTGACTGGGTGAATGAATCTGAGTGACTGACTATCAATCGGACTGCGAAACTGTGATGGTGGGACTGAGCAAAACACAAAACAAGAAATATGTCATATGTGAAATTGGATTCGTGTCACTCAAACGAACTGGGACCCTCACCGGGACAATGATTGCAGATGGCGTTGCCAATGTCGGGGGGCCGGGGGCTGGAGAGTTAGGCGCCTGGCTCGCCATGGCCTGAATCGTCAGCAAAATTCAGTCAATGTGAATTTAAATCCTTGAGCCGAAGGTTTCACAGTCTGTGTCCGTCAGTCTTCAGTTTGATCAGTAAGTAAGTTTACATGACAACATCCAAAAGTCGAATTAAGGCAGCCACTAGATTCGATGGACAGAGGAGGGATTTATTTGCCACTGACCACTGACAGAGCTGCTGAGATGTAAAAAACGGACGGTGTCAAATCAGTCAAAGTAAGTGTGCGTGCTGTCACAAGTTGAATGACACACAATAATACGACATTCAATTACAACTCAAAGAAATGGGTCGAGTTGACAGTCCGTTGTCAGATGATTAGACTACGTCGTCAATGGATGAGAGCTGCACTGAGGCGAATGCCACCTTTTTTTTGCTGGCTGTAACACTGTGATTGTGGCGTCAGTAGCATCCTGAGGCCTGTCCTGATGTCAAGTGCCTGACCTAAATCAGAACTCAGAGTCTGTATCAGTATGAAGGTCTGAATGAATCATTGCACCTTGGCAAATCATCATTCACCATCCAATCATGATTATTGCACTTAGTTTGTGGTCTGTTTAGTTGTGTCGGTAGCACTGCGGCGACATAACATTGACTGGTCATGATCTATATTTATCATTAAGCTGACAGATGATGAGTTCTGGCCAATCATTCGTGGGAAAACTAGTGATTTCCAGACTCAGACTGTGACACTGCAGTCTCGGGAGGCGCATCAGCATGGAGGTCGGTGTGTAAAAACCATCGAACGGACCACGGGAATTGAAATTCTTCGATGCCCATCATGCTAGTGGAATCAATGTCGTCGTTTTCGCAGAACTCTTTCCAGCCAAAATAGACACAGTCGTGCCTCCCTGGATGAATAATGGCCTGTCTGGTTCTGATGATTGGGAGGATCAAGTTCAAAGACACACGTGAATCCTTCTTGCTCAAGATTCCCGACCACATTGTCCAAAATCCGGTCTCACTATGCTTCTGCCATACACTGCAAAAGTCAATCTCAGCAGAGCCGTCAGCAATATATATATATATATAATTATATATATATATATCTTGGTGTTTCCACCGCGTTTTGCTGAATAGCAGGGATTCTTCAGAATCCTCAGTCGTCATTGTCCCCGTCCCTTCATCTTCAATAATATCAGGGGAAGGCTCCTTATTCACCAATGAGATGAAATTGGGCCCATGGTGAAGGAGCCAATAATGATCAGGCTCCATGGTCTTTCTATGCTCTCAGTCGCTATTCACTATTGAACCACACAAGCCAAAATGCTCAGGCAATGAATGTCAAACACTGACTTTGAAATGAAATTCTGAAAGGAGCTGACAACTACTGAACAATCTCTGATTGTGACCGCTTAGTGAGAGATTCGCAAAGCTGGCCTTATTGTACTCGCTGAGTATCTGTAAGCCTGTGCGGCGTACACTGAATTCAGCATGCATGGTTTCCTCTAATTTAGTTAGTCATAAATTATCTTAAATTAATTACTCCCAGAAATTAAATAGGTTTAACATGTCCACAGGTTCAATATGTGATTAAAAAACACTGTTTCATCACTAGGACTTGGCATAGCAGTGAATCCAAGTGCTCCGGCCTGGCAACCTGATCTGGGACAATGGACGACAATGCCTTGGCCCTGATTATGCTGACCGACTTTTGCAAATTCCAAAAGGTTTGAAAACAAGAGAACGTGAACAAGTGAGTGTGCGACCAAGATCTGAAACTCATGTCTTTGTCCATGCCAAGTCTTGTGGCAATAACAATTGACTGACCAATTGAATGAATCTAACAGAGCAAAAACCACCACAGTTCTGAATTTTGGCAATGATCATGTTTTGCTGGATTTACTTGCACGCGCATCTGCTCAGAGACCAGGGCCTTTTTGTTCAGTCCCAGGACCCATCCTAAGTCAAGTCATTTCAAGTGTTGCACTGGATTCAGTCAGTCTGTCAGTCACAGTTCTGTTTTTGTTAATGCTATTCTGTTCATCGTTTTGCTGTAAGAGGTGAAGCGTATTTATTGTGGAGTCAAAAGTCAACCTGTCAGTCAGGCTTCTTTTCTGCTGACTCGGAGCGCGAACATTGTCACACTTACTGTACATCAGACCATACTGAAACCACTGCTCTGGACAATCATGACACATCGGTCAACCATGTCTGCTGTCAGGACAATGACTGTCATCACCTGCCACTCCTTGCATTCGTCATCTTGCTGTTTTTGAAGTCTTCCTTCACTTCCAGTGCACACATCAACAGACTTACTTCACATGGGGCACTAGACGTGTGGTGGTGAAGTGCCTTTACGTAGAGAAGAATGCTTCTCAGAATCAGACTGATTTTGTTCACACAGTACTTCTGCAGTGACAGGCCCTGGATCCCTTTTTCTTTCCAGAGGCGCCATGATGTTGGCAGGCAGGAAGCAAAATCTTTGAATGCCAGTTGGATAGGACTCCACTGCCATCTGCTCGACAACCATCTTGCGATACTGAACCTCCTTGGAGCAGGGCTGGCCTCTGCTTTCGACAGTGTTGTACGTCTTCAATATTTTTTATTGCCAAAATCGGTCACCAGCCACCCAGACTTCATTTTCTCTCTGCATCAAGGCCTTTAAGTCTCAAATGCTGTTCCAACTCAGCACAGCTCAGAACGCATCGTCTGAGATGCTTGTTGTTGGGCAAAAAAAATCTGTGTTCTGGAAACCAGTCGACAGAGCAAAGTAGTGCCCCCAAGTCCGTCTCTTTCTGAGACTCGAGAAACTTCTGCCTTGCTGCGATAATTGCGGCAGATGCATCCAGCTGAAACAGCCATGAATCAGAAGCACTGGAGGCAGGTGCCATAATTTCGTCTTCCTCCAGATTGTGCTGCGCACAAAACCGGACCATTGCTCTGATCTGGTTGCACACTTCTGTCACTTGCCTCATCATGGCATTTGCCTGTGACAGGTTGGACTCCAGAAGCTTCCCTTCCACGAAAAATAGGAGGTCGAAGAATAAAGTTGCGATAAATTCCGGCGAATGCATTTGTGCACGTCGTCAGCGCTCCAATCAGCTGCTGCCTCACGTCTTTCCATCCCTGGTCATGAGGCAGCCTGGCTGCATCATCATCATCATCATCATCATCATCATACTCAGAATAATCACCAGCTTCATCATTGAAGGCACTGCCACTGTCATCCTCAGCTTTGGCCTCAGGCTTGGCCGCCTTGGCACTGGCTGCACCATCACACTCAAGTGAATCACCAGCATCGGCCCTGTGCTTAGCCGCCTTGTCCCTGGTCTCAGCTGCTGTAGCATCAGCTTGCCTTTTACGTCTTTGCCTCCAAGTAAGCTCAAAATTTTGAGGTGCTTGGTTGGTCATAGTCACCGTTATTAAGCCGCCTCCGAAAGCAGCTGGGTATGTTGGAAACGGTGTCATTACGGACTGCGGGAAGGGCGGCACTGGTGTACTTGGAGCGAGAGGGTGTGGCTGGACATGGCAGGAGGATAGGCGGCATAAGGTTGCAGATTCACTGGTGAATGTTGACAGGATGATCCCGCCTGATGTACCCGGTGCCACCTCATTGTCGAATTCCTCCTTTCCAGCTTCACATTAGGACCCTCTTTACGCAACTCCAACATATAAGCATGGAAGGCGGACCCTTGCACGTCGTCTTGGTCATTTGCATTGAGGATTTTGCATTGAGGATTTTGTGGTTCCCGGGGGTCGCCTTCGTCAGAGTATTCCCCTTTGTCCAGAATGTCTGCCCATTTATTCATTGGCGTAACAGCATGTTCAAATTGGGTTTGAAAGTCACCCGACATGACGATGCAGTCAAAGACATTCTGAGAACCAAATAGGCTTCATGCCTACGAATCTTCGCCGAAGACCTTTTTCTCCGCCGAATGACCAAAATTCCTGGACTTCCAAAAGTGAACAACATATCGGGTCCAAGGGATTAGCTTTGGAGGCGACGACAAGTGGAGGAATTCTGGTTGTCCAAGAGATGCCTCCAGATTTCATTGGGGTCGGCTCTATGAAACAGTATCAACTCTGGTTCTCGTGCAAAAGATACTTGTTGAACAGGGTGTGAAAAGTTCCCTTCTGAATCCAGAACGGAAACGGCTTGTCTTCCCCGAACAATTCATGATGGTGAGCTTTCAGAGTCTCCTCGATCAGGGCTGTTTCATAGAGCCGGCCCCAATGAAATCTGGAGGCTTCTCTTGGACAACCAGAATTCCTCCACTTGTCGTCGCCTCCAAAGCTAATCCGGCAGGTGCAATGATTGCCGTTGATCTGCGCCTGGCGGTAGTGGACTTTGCTTCTCTGTGAACCAGTGATATTGTGGAGAATATTTGCATGATGCTGCAAATGTCCACACGCAGTCTCCCAATTTTGCTGTTCTTCGAAGATTTCTGTTTTTTTCCCGGATCCGATCTCATCAGTGCGGACGATGTGAACCAACCAGCATGGTGGTGGGGGGGCTTCTTTATCGTGCCAATCTTGTGACTGTGGCAGAAAATGAATCAGATCAGTCTTGGTCGCTCGTCCAAAAAACAGTTGTAGAAATTTCTCATGGTCACTCCTGGTGACCACTCCATTGGGCCAAGCGTCCATGGCGGAGCCAGTCGGGCTATCAAGTCACAATGGACTATCAAGCCACTAGGCGAACTGGCGACGTTGTAAATGCATGTATTGCGAACTGTCAAGTAAGTGAACTAAAATTGTTATGACACGTGATAAACATCAGTGATTGAATTAAATGGCAGGACGAGCAATATTATTGGGCAGTGTGAGTGTGTGAGTCATTTATTCAATCATCCTTCACCAATTGCCAAAATGACATAAGTTGTGACAAACAAACAATTATGACTCTGTAACTGTACTAAGTTCCTGGCATGCATTCCTCATCTTCGCCAACAAAAAACATTCATTGGACGTCAGCCTCATGAATCAAGGACGTGTCTGCCACAGTTCAGTTCAGTCAGTCAGTAGACTACTGATTAGTCAAGTATTATCACTGATTCAAAATAGACGATTGAGGACCTGATTTCCCGACTTATAGTCTTACAGCTACAACTCAGTGATTCAGTGACTGGCTGAGTGAATGAATAATGTCGTCAGCGACTGCGTCATTCACTGACTGACACGTATCATCAATGACTCAATCAATTTTCAATAGTCAGTCAGTCAGCCAGTCCGTCAGTCAGCCAGTCAGTCAGCCAATCACTGGGTGCCTGGCCTGTCTTGGGATCAATCTCTGAGACTCTGGACAGTGACAGGACAGGACTTCAGCACTGCTAACATCGCACTGCATACACTGATGTGACTTGAATTATGCGATCTCAGGGAACTGAATCAAGCCAGGCTGGTTCAGCCAGTGGCCAGTGCAGTCATTGGGATTGGATGAGCCAGCAGTGATTGAACCAAAGTCAAGCTTCATAACACATCGGTCAATCACTGTCCTGATTTGGGTGACGTTCAATGTCACCAAATCAAGCCATATCATCAGTAAAATTAAAATCAGGTCAACAATAAACAAGTGTAAATGATTTCATGTCTGAAAGTTTCATTGCTCGAATCAAGTCAGGGTTTCAATTAATTAATTTTGATTTGACCTTAGTCCTGTTTCCCCGTCTTTGACTTTGGTTGTTGCTGCTTAATTTTTGTAAGATTAATCCAACAAATTGCTCCCCGAGGATGGTCAAATGGCCTGGGGGGACAATATTGAATTGGATCTTTAAGTTCCCATGCCCACACTTTCTTGTAATTGCTGATGGTAATGGCATCCTCAACTTGATGGCGATGAGTCAAACCACTAAATGAGTCTGGTGGGATATCTTCCAAACCATCCTGACCGTTTCGAGCGAGCAGAAAGCTGTCAGTGATTGTCACCTCACCCAAAAGCATTCCACCAGAAGCAAGCGCAATTCGCCCCTCTCTTAGTGGTATTTTTCGACCTGAGTTCGATGTCTTTACCGTAATTCAGGATCTGGTTGGCCCAATATGGCTTCATCAGCAAGGCAAAATCTGGCATTTCCATGGCTCATTGGATGGAGTCCCACCCACTTCCAAGCCAATACCCTGCGCGAAGTCAGTAGCTATTATGAATATTATTATTATTATCATGTAAAATTGTCATTTTTTGAATAATATACTGGATGATGGACATGACATAATGTAAAATTGAATTTGAATATTAACAACTATTTTTAATCAAAAAAACTGGATGATGGAAATACCTACATGGACTATTTTTCTCATTGTTTCTCAGTTTTTCTCTTCTTTTCTCATTTTTATCTTTTACAAATACTAAAAACCTGCTGTAACTAAACCCCACTGATCTGGACCCCTTTTTGTTTGAGGGACAAGAAGGGATACAATGGGAGACAAATGGAGACAAGACCCTCGGGAAGGCGGACGCGCCATCCAACAAAGGGAAACAAGAAGGGGTACAATGGGAGACAAAGGGGTGCAAGACCCTCAGGAAGGCGGACACACCATCCAACAAAGGGAAACAAGAAGAGGTACAGTGGGAGACAAGGGGAGACAAGACCCTCGGGAAGGCGGACACACCATCCAACAGAGGGAAACAAGAAGGGGTAGAATGGGAGACAAGGGGAGACAAGACCCTCGGGAAGGCGGATACACCATCCAACACCAAGGTGGACACCTTAAGATAGCATTAAGAATCCCTAACAGTACACTGTTTCGGGAAAAAAGATGATCAAATTTTGGCCACAAAACGACCATGCCACCTCCAGCACCTGCAGAACATCCTGCTCCCAAGAGAACACCTGGGTTTGACGGGGATGTCCAACAGTGGATATCCAACTCCAATATCAAAAAAACATAACAAGTCGATTTACTAGTAGGATTAAAAAAAGAAACCATCTGTGCTTCCCAGGTCAAAGATTCACCAAACCCCATGTCTCTCCCTACAACACTAGCAATTGACCACATGTTGTAGGGGTTCAGGGCTAAGGTTTTTTCACGACAGCAAGAACTGTGCACTCATCGTTGTCCTGTTGTCGAGAAACCTGCGACCCGCCGGGATGAAATTCTTGGCAACCATCGCAGCATCAAGGCAGCTGCTTTTTGGGAAGGAATTCAGGAGTCTGCTGTCGAAAAGGAATGGACAAGAATAGCGGGAAGCAATCGTCTTTGTTGACGACTATTGGCAGTGACACCACATTGGTGTATGCAACCTAAAGGTGCTATAAGGTGCTCGTTTTCATGTTTTGTCTCATGTTCATGTTGTCACAGTATGTCACAGCATCATTCTCAGCAAAGCTTCTTGCTCTTCCGTGGCTGAGGCTTAAAATAGAAAATGTCACGGGCAAGACTGAGAAAGACCTCTCTTCCACAAATCGATGGGCTTCATTTTCATATTTACAACAAAACAAAACACGCAGAAATTCAGAATTCCCCAATTGTTAAAAATCATGCCCAGTACACAATCGCTGACATAGCATAGTCACTATAGTCATGTTTTCCTGAAAAGTGTCCTTTGCTATTACTCATTCCTTGCCGTTGAAGGGGTCAAGTCTGCAACAAAATGGCCAAGTCGCAGTGAGGAAGGCGCTGTCAAATCAGCTTTTCTTGCGGCCATGGCACTCTTCTCCGCAGTGGTGTGTAAATCGACTGCGGCTACGCTATCTTTGCAAACAAAAAAAGGATAAAATCAGATAAGACATGATGAAAATATGACAAAGTTACAACATGTTATAACATGATCAAACTTGCCTGTATGTTTCCTTTTTTCACTAGACCAGTATCAACATGTAACAACAACCTTGATTTTGCTTTGCAAAGCACGTCTAAGTGTCTAAGGCACAAGGCCAAGGCGGCCTTGTGGGTTTTGTACAAGTTCTGCACCTCAGCGCAAAACCTTCGATTTCTTCGCTTTGATGCATCGATTTCAGGGCACACGGCACCTGCACCACTGCACCAGCTACGAGACGAGACGAGACAGGAAAAATATATGGCACTTGATAGCACCTGGTGGCACTTGAAGTTGACAATGTTAGACAATGTGAAACTTTTATTCTCCACCTCATACTGGCATGTTCGATGGCGACGGACCTAGGCTTCTCAGCGACCCATGCTGTATGCAGTGTCCATGAATCTTACACGAGAGAGCAAGAATAGAGTAAACGCATGCAATGAGTGCAGCACATCCTTGCGCTGGCCTTATGTTCAAACGCAAGGTGAGCAAACAAAAATAACAAACTGAGATTCGCAATCGAATATTCTAGCACGAGGGAGGTTTCAGAAGCTGTTTGCTTCCAGCACTGTGTCAAGGCCCAAGCGCATCCCCTGGACTTGCAAGTGGTGTTGCCTGACACGACGAGAAGCGAGGCCAACAGGGAGGCATGCTGCGGCGTGCTGAATCGCTTCTGCAAACTTCGGAGGCTTCACGCTTCCCTTGGGAGATTCTTGCGGTGCTTCCAAGCCGGCACCAGTTGCCTGGGATCTGTGTGGCAAATCTGTGTCAAAGTCCTAGAATGGCATGCAAAATATGTAAACCTCAATATCTTTAATGTAAATTTCTTCATGTAAACCCAAGATGACATCACCTGCAAAGCAGGAGATGGGCGGCCATAGGCCGCAGTTGGCCTCAGTGATCAGCGTTGTTGTCTCGTTGTTTCGTTCTTTTTTCATCACCAGCATTTGGGGACGCAGCATCCCGGCTGAACCAAATCCTCCATAGCCAGCCACTGGGCTCCTAGGCGCTAGAATCTCGTTGGTCCCACGTTTCTGTTGGCACAAGCGCACTGGGTTCAGGGCAGTTGGCTGGGTGTGGCCTCGACGCCAGCGGTCCACAACCTTAAGATGACTTCCAAAGACAGTTTATTGCCTCTTTCAGTCTGTCCAGATATGTCCAGATCATAACAGATTCTCATCGAAAAAGGCCACTTCCAAGCCATGACTGTACCGTCCTGCGGAAGTGCACCGAAGTGCACCTGCCAACGAGGTGTCACTCCTTTGGCCAAGTCGCGCCACGACGAAAACTCGACAGCTTTTGTCCTGCAAAACGTACCAGAAGGGTACGAGTCAAGTCAATTTGTTGACCCAAAAATGGCTGGTGATTTGGAGTAGCATTGAAATATAAAACGTATTCAACATTATTCAAGTATCAATTGGGAGGTTGATAATTTTGACCCAGAATCACCCGTAGAACGAGATCAGCCAATACTTTTTCGAGAAAGGAAATGGTAAGTCCATCCATCTTGATGCGCCTCTGAAGCAGATGCAACAATCAGCTGTGGCTTCCCATCTGCCTACGCTGCAACAAGTTGACCAAAGTTGACCAAAGTTGACCAAAGTTGACCAAAGTTGACCATCAGGAAAAGTTCCAAGGATGTACCCTCTGGTAATTTAACATAACTATGGAAAATCACCATTTATAGTGAGTTTTCCCATGACAAATTGTGATTTTACATAGTTATGTTAAATTACCAGAGGGTATCTGTTAAAATCACAGGGTGCAGTGCAGCCAGCTCTTGCGCTCTTGCCTCCCCTATGGCCAAATCGAGTCCCATCACTGTCTCGGAGTGGCCCTGACAGACATCCAGCTTGGCAGAGAATTGGTCACCGCTTCAAAAATGCCTGCAACGTTCTCAAACATTCTCCCGAAAGGCCATTGAACCTTGGGAGACACGGCACAGCAGAAAAGGCCGACACGGCTGGCAATCTCTGAGGTAAGCCCCTGGCAAGCGCAGAGTCTTGTCGGTGGAACAAGTGCAAAACCTCGAGGGGCTGTCCATGTGGAAAACTGAAAACTGAAAACTCGCTGCTGGCACCCTGCTGCTTTTGTGCACAGTCCATTCCCTCAGTTGTTGAATCCTCTTGTACAGGAAAGTTTGCCTCTACATCCTGGCCTACAGCTACGGTCAACGCTTGCATGTCAAGTTTCATTTTCTCCGAGTTCGACGCGACCTTTCAAGGTTTCATGATTGACATCGGCAAGTCCATGCAAGTCTACTTTGGACCTCCTGGTGACACGTGAAATCCTCTCCCACTCAAGTTCCATCGGCGCCGAGATCACATCAGCCTTCTCAAAATTGGGGCCCTCAGCCCGAACATGATGCAAAATGCAGCCCTGTCATTGCATGGCCTGACATACTCTCTGGAAATTGAACATAGCTGTGCAAAACGGCCCATTTATATAGATGATTTACCTATTGAAAAAATGCTGATTTTCCATAGCTATGCTAAATTCACAGAGAGTAACCTTGCCAAAAAAACCTTTCTGGCTGTCTGATGATGCTTAAAGCTATTCTGTTACCAGGCTACCAGGCCTTCTTTCACAGGACAATCATAAGGCAACGCATACCCAGGCAGCAGGAAGCCCATGCATTTTCTGGCATCCTGGCTGAGCTCACTGGGCAGGCTTGTCGGCAAAAAGGCCCCAAAGAGTGACAGCAGTGACAGTCACAAAAGCGTTGAGACACTCTTTTTGAGACTCTCTTTTTGAGACACTCTTGTAAGACACTTTCATGAGACATCAGATGAGACACTCTTGCAAGACACTCTTGTGCCGGGGACCTCTTTGAAGACTGCTGTTGTCTGACATTTTTGCGCGGTATTCTTATCATGTTTGTAATGTAATTGCACTTTGGTCATACACTCTTAGATGTTTTTAATGCGGCATTTTGATGAGGCACTCTTGTCCAAAGCTCTTCGAAGGCGCTCTTATTAGACACCGTTGCCTGACACTCTTGTGGGCACTCTTGAGTGACACGTTGGTGAACCACACTCTTGTCAGCCCTTCTATTGGACACGTTTGTCAAGCACATTGTGGGAGACTCTAGTATGGCACTCTGGTGGAACCCTTAGACACTCCCGTAGGGTATTCTTGCAAGGCACTCTTTGAAGCCCTTGGCTGTCAGACAATCTTCTGGCACACTTTTCAAACACGCTTGTAGGTTACTCTGATTACACTCTTGTAAAACACACCATGTGACGTTTTGGTGAACCACTCTTGTGACAACCTGCAGGTCCATAAAATTGCATGTACCTGCCATATAAAGTGACCCGGCTGAAAACGAAGCTCTCATCTCATGATTTCCAAGAATCCCAGTTGCGACACAATTTGAACATCCTTGAACCCTAGCTCCGCCACGTTTGCGAATTTAAACAACATTGAAATACCATCCCACCATGCTGCTTAGTCAATATGTATCCCTATCATAGGTTTTTTTAAGAATAAACTCCAGTCAGTAAACCAGTTGGTCTAATCCCCTGTATCAACCCATCAACACTCCGCATAAATTACAGTAATTCACTGACATCAAATGTTCGGAAAGTTTGGGATAGTTACCCTACTAACATTAACAATCATTCTATAGATTTGCATCGCAGTGAGGTCCTTATCATTTATCCAGCATTCTGCAAACACGCGGTCTGTAAAGTGTGACACCTTGGTCAACAAGTAGACTCAGACATTGGTTTTCCCATGTTTTTCCCTCCAAAGTTTTTCCCATGTTTTTCTCTCCAAAAGTTCAGCATGTTTGCTTATCTTCCTCCTAACATGAGGAAACGCAATGGGACCTGGAATAGGCATCAGGTCTTAACACTTGCCGTAAAGCCCCCTTCAGTGTGACCACACTTTTGGGAACAATTGTTCATATTTAATGCTGATCAAGACCGTCGCAATGAAGAACACAACGAAAATCGAAGCAGAAAATGCAGAAAGAGATCAATACTTTGTAGTTACTCTTAGAAATCTTAGAATGCTGCAGCTACAAAGATATTGTCGGACCGATTCCCATTATTCCCATGATTCCCATGATTCCCATGCCCATGGCTCCTCAGCATACTTTTTCATACATCCTTCACAACCCGGTCCGTGGGTCACGCAATAGCTTTTGCCTCGGCGCCGTGTCGATGGCAGCGTCACCAGAAAATCCCACCTTGAGTAGCTCACAATTCTTGTAGCCATAGACAGCAGCATCCACAAAGCCTGAATTGCCACACTTGTCAGCATGGGATTAGCAGGGCAACCACATAAGGCAAAGTCTGAAACCTGACATTGCACTTTGAGAAGTTTTCCCCTACAACTCGCTCTTATGCAAATCTTGAAAACGAAAGAATGAGGAGAAAAGGCCCAGGGTCACGTGCAGGTTCAAAATACACTCTACCGCAAAGTAGAGAGCCCACTTTTTTGGCAAAGATATTATTGTTTGGATTTGTACAGGTGCACCCCTCAATGTTGTGTTTGAATCCATGTCAATGTATTATGAATGTACGTGTGTGTATAATTGTGTATATATATATATATATTATATATTATATATATATTATATATATTATATATATTATCCATAGTACATATAACATCATATACAGTAAGCATAATTGTTTGAAGCTGAAATGGCAAAGCTGCAACGCTCTGCAAGATGCGGCCAAGCATGCTATGGCTTGCTGCTATCTCGTGTTGGTCAACGCGCGACCACGTTAGATAATACTCACATCAAGCAGGATTTCCAGAAGCCGCTTGTTGGCAAGTTACACATGGTGCAATGGTCCGACAATTCGGGTATCGCCTTCACAAGACAGGCACTTTTGGAAAGTAACTCAGTGGTTAGAAACTGATTAGTTTCTAGATTTTGTAGCACTCTCAAAGTCCAATATTCTCACATATTCTCACCCGTGTCGGTCCTGCATGAAGCACCTTTTGAACTTGTCTTTCCGGAAGACCCATCTTAGCGAGCGGCGGATCATCACAAACGGATTCGTTTTGACTATGAGATTGCCCACACTGCCGGGTTTGTCTGAAAATTGGATAGACCTCAGAATGCAGAATGGCTATGTTAGTAGTCAAAATGATAAACACCCGTAAAGTTTGGGTACCCGTACCCTCTTTTCAGACAACCCCAACTGTTGAATGCTGGACCAGACACCCAGCACATGTCCTGGACTTCTGAATGATATTGTCTCTGTCTTGCTGTACCAACCTGGGTATCATCTGACCCAGTCACTCAAGGCACAACATGCGTGGTGAAAGTCTGGGTCAGTCTGGGTCTGCAGCGCACACAGTGCGAGATGTTCATCTTCGGTGCAGGAATTATAGTCCTTGGCTCTGGTCACCTCTGGACACCTCTGGTCACCTCTGGTCACAGTAAAGCCTTCGCAATTCGTTTTATAAATCATTCACAAATCTAGTCTCTCAAGTCTGTCAAGTCCCCCGATTTTAAGAATGGCTCGAAGCGTGCTGGCGATTCTGGACGGTCCTCCCACACCAAACAGCCCCATCAGCCCCAAAATTGCTGCAAACTGATCTAAGCGTTTCCACGTGATGCAAGGCCTCTCCATCATCATCGGGATCCTCTGGAGGTGTGTAGTTCTTGCCCTGGGAGTGTCAGGTGGATTCGGCTCAAATTCAAATTTATTTTGCCATGTTCTCACATTAGGATGTCTCCTCTGCCTGTTTCTTTCATTCCTTTTGATTCCTGCTTCACTTTGAATTGATTCAGTTGTCCTTTTCCCAGATTTCTGGTTCACAAAAACGAAGCCATCATCCGATCAGGTTTTGGCCATCACGGAGTTTCGGAGGCGCCTGCAAATTGGCATAAACCCTGCCGAGCTCTGCTTTGAGCGCCTCTCCCAGCGAAGACCGACACCGCGCTCGTCGAGTAGTTTCGATAAAAAAGCGACTCTTGTTGACAGAAAACCGTCATCTCAATGGGTTGGTTGAAGAGAAATTTTACAGGAAACCACGGTTGCTGTTCTTAAACAAAAGGCACTCCACACAGCACGCTCTACACACTTCACGCACCTTCACACACCTTCACACTCCACACTGCTACACACCCCACTCCACACTCTATCGTCCTCACAAGACACTGCAAACTTTACCCTCCTCTCTCTAGACTCCACACTCTACACTTCAGACTCCACACTCTACACTCCACTCTCCACACTCTGTACTTCAAACTCCGCACTGTACACTCTACACTTTACACTTTGCACTCCACACTCCCCACTCCATGCTCTACACTTCATGCTCTACACTTGACTGATTCTCACCAAGCGCCATGCCTGCCACACAAAAGCTACATTTCACGTCTTCCCACGCCCTCCCAAACCTCCAAAAAAAGACATGTCTTGCAGCGTTCGCCGTAGGCACGGCATTTGGGACCCGGTTAGAGCGACTGCCACACAAAAGTTACATTTCACATCTTCCCAAACCTCCTAATAGACGACATTTCGCCACAGGCACGCAATCTGCGACCCAATTAGTTCGACATACTCAAGCCTGACTCTCACCAAATGCCACCCCTCGGAAAACGACATTGCACACCTTAACGACACATTGGGTCTTTTGACAGGCCCCTTTTGGTACAGCGAGACGCGATTGGAGCACCGAGCCACGAGCTGCGACCCCCGCAGACCGCCGACCAAGAAAACAGGACCCCGCTAAGCATTCGGGAACAACAAAGCCATTCTTGACCAGCGCCCAACCTGAACCAAAAAACATTCTTGAAAGGTGCCCATGGTGAAGATCGTACTTAAATCCAGCCACTGGAAGATCTGAACCCATATTTACAACTGTGCACAACATAACAAAACAGGCACTTGTCAGCAGCTTCTAGTACAAATCAGATAAATGCTTAGAGATACATAGTATACTTCATTGTTGTAGTAAAGGGAGCGAGGCACAGTGCCCCTTGTACATGTTTGGGGTGAAGCATTGAAATATTATTTATCTATTTATTTATCTATTTATTTATTTATTTGTTTGTTTATTTATTTATTTATAAGTATATATATATAGTAGTACATATTCAATATAGTATATTATATAATATCATATAATGTCTATTTATTTAAATATATATTATATAATGTATTGTAATATATTGTAATGAACCAAAAGTTCTCTTGAACCAATTCTGGGATCATCAAGGTCAGGCCGACGCCTTTTCGCCCTTCTCGGCCGCAGCCACCCGACTGAGTAGCTGCCTTTTCTCCTGAGCGACACAAGCCGGGCCGAAGCTTCAACATGTGGCAGTGTGTCAAAACCAATAGTACCCCTGTAGTTCACATCAAAATAGCTGGGATCTATGGATGTTCATCCCCCTAAAAATGGTAACTTATAGGTATTGACCCATAGCCATGTGAGTGTTGTAGGAATGCCAGATCCAGAAAGTTGTTGGGTCCAAAAATCGTTCCAAAGCAAGCAAGCAGCGCCGGCTCAGTAACAATGTCTTTCCCAAGTCACAGTGTTGAATCATCAGATGTCTGTTCCCCTTTTTGCATGCCCAACGCAGCACACCTTGACATCTCTTGTATACGTATAACTACGGTCTTTCTCTTGACTGCTCTCTCTCTCTCTCTACATCTCTTCCTTTTGTCATCTTATCTTGACATCTCTTCCTTCTGTCATCTCATCGTGACACCTCTTTGTGCTGACATCTCTTTCTCTTGACATCATATCTTCCTCTTGACAGCTCTTTCTGCTGACATCTCTTCCCCGGCCATTTCTGTTGACATATCTTTCTTTTGACATCACGGTCTCTTGAAAGCTTTCCCTTGACACCCTCTCTTGACACCTGAGACACGCATCAATGGCCACCCTGATATCAATTCGACGTCGCAGAGCACCAAGATGCAAGACCAATGGCGCCAGCGTATAGAAAGGAGACATCACTTTGACCCTGCAATTCAAGAAGAGCGAGCATGGCACCAGCGCACAGGCACACGGCAATTTGAGCTCTCAACTGGATCTCAAGCAGACAAAAAGCGCAAAAAGTACTTTTTTGAAGCGTATTCTAAAAAATATGTAATTTGTAACCGGAAATGCAAGGCGCCAAAGTTGGAGAAAATCTTGCCGAACAGCAACGTTGACGCAGATTCGATTGTGCACAGTAGTTATTCGATTGCAAAACACAAAACACCGGTTAGCAAGCTACCCTGGAGATACCTTGATGCAGCGGTTCCGCTACGCAGTTTCCCAGAGCTGCAAAACACAATAGCACCAATGCACAACAGTATCGGAAACTTACTCCGAGGCGACTCTGAGGCGACAGTTTCACGGCACAAAGGAACCGTGCACTTGCAAAACACGCTAGCACGAGAGTTGTAAACTCAGACAACAGTCACCTTGATGCCTCAGTTTCATTGCCGGCGCAGACATGAACACGCCCCCACCGCACCCGGCGCACAACCCCACCTTACTTTCACAAACCAGCGAGACACGTTTACTAGGAGGAAAAAATGTATTGCGTAATGTCCACCTCTCAAATCCTACCTTCATGATCCTTCATGCCACAAAGTCCAACAGTTTTGCAAAACACCATAGAGAGTGGAGTTGAAATAATGTGGACATGATGTAAAGCAGAGATGATGTGAGGTTGAGATTATGAGAAAAGAAGATGATAAAGAAGATGATAAAGAAGATGAGGTGATGTTAAGTTCAGATCAGATAGAGTTGAGATTATGGTGAAGTTGAGATGGTGTTGAGTTGAGATGATGTGAAGTTGAGATGATGTTAAGTTGAGATGACGTTGAAGTTGACATGATGTTTAGTTGAGATGTGTGATGTTGAGATGACGTTGAAGTTGAGATGATGTTGAAGAGTTGAGACGATACTGGGCTGAGATGATGTGAAAGCGATCTCGAAACTTCATCCGTAACTTGTAGTTTCGCTTCCAAACTTCCTTTGAATCATAACTTCATAACCATAAATTTCTACCCGGGCCGTGTAGAGCCCAAAAAGAAAAACACCTCCAGGATGCCTGCAATACACAGAAAGGGGGCACCTGGATTCATTGAAATAGATGAAATCGCTATTGGCAGCTATAGATCTAAATCCTTAAATCATTCTAAATCGCTATAAGAAAATCATCTTTGTGACACTTTGTGACCCATATCTCCAGTCCATCAGTCCAGCCATGTCACCTTCGTCCAAGTCAACTCTTTCTTGATCTGGTCGATGCTGAACTGCATATCAGCCTCCAAAGGTCAATTCTCCATCTGTTCAACTTATTTCAACTTGAAGCTGGTTGGTGGTTGACCAACCCCTCTGAAAAATATGAAAGTCAGTTGGGATGATTATTCCCAACTGAATGGAAAAATAGAAAATGTTCCAAACCACCAACCAGTGAAGCTTGAAGGGATCTTGATTATCCGATGATTATCCAGGACCAGGGCACAGTGTTCCAATAATTTCTCCCATCTGAAAAATTATCAAGCGTGAAGATCGTCTGAAAGTGTACGCAGAAAAACCCTACTCAGATATACTCAGATCATGGTCTTGCAATTCCAACATTGTGAGTTGCCAAGAATCTCTCGCACTAGCTTAGTTAAATGTCATGACGTTCCAATCCTAGCTTGCATCCTCGGCGGAAAATCTACAAACATGTCCCTTCCCTCTAGGCAATCAGCTTCAACAAGTAAGGCTGTTGCTTCGTGCTTCAGCAATTAACTCCAAAGATCTTCAAAGATGCTTCTGCGTGAATTCGGCCACACTTGCTAAATCATGTCTAGCGAGATGCATTTTCCAAGGTAAATGCTGAGCGGTTTCTAACACATGCCGTAGCAGCTTAGAAGATTTGTGCATGCACAGAGCACACCGGAATTCCCCAACTTAAACAATTTGTTTTCAGTGTTCTGCTGCGTCTTTTTGGTGCAACTTAAACAGAAACAGGAAATGCCGGAAATGCCCAAAGGACTGTTGTTTCACTATGACTTTTTGGTGTGTTGTATCACAACGTGCATCCGCTTCGCCTGAGCTTCTACAGACGCTTCAGCTCGAATCAAGGTATACACACTCCTCATTCCAGACATTTCAAGAAAGAAAAATTCCTCGGAAGAGGATGGAAGAGGCAACAGGCGCGAATTCTGATGGCACCGGAATTCTGAGATCAGAGCAGCACCAGGAGTCCGGCCAGTGTGATTTTGGCCCATAACGGAACAAAGACCTGCAGCCACAACGCAGCCACTGCAGCCACAGAAAGTCTCCCTCCAATAAGGCGGTGAAAAAATCACCCGGTGAATCAAAATGGCTCCCCCCAAAATGGCCGAGCCTTAGCCGCAGGCGGTGTTGCTGCTTCTGGTGGCTCCATTTCGAAATTGGTCATCGTCATGGCGGCTGGCGGCGGCGATGAATGATGAGTAGCAATGAGCCACCCAAGTTGAAACCCAGGAAAAAAACAAAATCAAATGCAGTATATCCAAGTTTGAAGAACATGTTGGCCTCAAGAAATTCACGACTTGAGACTTGTTTGAAGTCTTGAGAAGGTCTGAAACATGCTCTGCTGAAATGCTGCATTTGTTAGGTTCATTGGACCGTGCTCATCATTTTGGCATATTTTGGCAATCCAACCCCTTTTGAAGGTCTATGAAGGCAGTTTGAATCTACCTAAAAAATTACAAGAATCATGCAAATCAACTGTGGGAGTGATATGGATATGGATATATCTACCGATGGGTAGATTGAGCCCAAACGCGTCAACATCATCAACGATCAAGGGTCCACACCATTCAAAAAGTAGTGCAGCAATTGCAAGCATGTTGTATTCGTATTTGCTTGTGCTCCTGTCGCCTAAAAACTTTCCCGACCCTGAGATCAGAGGTTCCCTGCCAATTGCCGAAGGTTGACCCAGGAAGCCACTTTAGTTTCACCTTTTGGGAACAGCTGAGATCGTGCAGATAGTGTTGGAGTCCTGTCACGGAGCCTTTTACATACTTGGTATGGAAGCAGCCAGAAACAGCCAGAACCAGAGAGTGAACATCCAAGGCGACCACAATACCACCTTTCTCAAAGTGCTCCTGCAGCCGCCAGGTGTTTTATTTTTTGACTTTGAAAATTATCCTTGCAGCGTAGAAGAGCAGAGCACAATGCACCTTCACTGTACATCTGAGATCCATCGATTTCGCATCCCAAATCTGGACCTTGACAAATCACATCAACTGTGGGGCTTGGTGTATCTCCCATAGGCTAAGAAGTACAGAAGCATCTGTTTCGTCCAAGCCCTTGGCGGTTCCATCCATACTGCCGGTGGCAAGGAGAAGCGTTCCCTTGCTGGAATTGCTAAACCTCCGCGTTCACCGAATGATTCAAGTTCAGCACATGACAAAATGGGTTCCTCCAAGAATCGGGGACGGTACGTCCCAAATGTTGATGCTTGATTCTGCTTGATCATCATTTTCCCCACTGAAAAGGCCATATTGTGTATTATTTCGTGGTAAATCCCACATTTCGGGGCAAACACAAACTGGGAGCTGTTTTCCAGGGCTGCAACGCCACAGCTTCTACAGAGTCGATGTGACCCGGCAGGGGCGCAAGCACCTGAGGCGCATCTTGAAACTTACCAAACTTGGCATGGGGTTCTTGAGGTTCCATCTATGATTTAGCAAATGTCCTGAAGTTTCGAGCATTTGGGTATGCCCAAAAATAGTAGATTTACATTTCCAGGACTTATCCATACTTGTCCTATTTCATGGCAATTTTAAGGGGAACATGATGATCAAACATCGGATTTTCAGGGCATCCCGGCCTTGCCAGTCTCAATCTGCACAACTTTGGCTGTAGCATCTTCCGCACCTGTTACGACCTGGGCGCTTCTTGATCTTCTTGACTTGGCGCGGACGCTAAGGGATTTGAATGGTGATTTGACCAGCAAAAATGGCGCTTTAAGGGGCAGAAAAATTGAAAGTTAAGCAGCAACAATGGCAGCAAAGACTTGGATTTCGTCAGAAAAAGACAAAACTCAACCACTATTGATAGGAAACCTTGGGTTTCACCACCAAGCATCGGGATGAAACTTGCAGTTTTTCTTTAAGCAATTCTGAGACAGAAAACTCTTCATCGCTCACAAGTCCAAGGTGGCTACGATTGGGGATTCGGGATGCGAGCAGATGGAGATGACGGAGCTTTCATGCACCTCTCGTACACTAGAACGGGGCTATTCGCATCAGCGGTTTCCTGAATGGAATGAACATGACCCTTTCTTGCGTCTCCTCTCTCATGCTATTTTGAGTCAGGGTTCCTAAATGAATATTCCCACATTTGCACATCCAGAGCTTCCTATGGAATGTCTTATCAGAATCTGGAAGGCTTCCAGCAAAAGGCAGCAATTCTATCAACTCTCCAGCCTCTCGAATGTGATGTTGTGGGGTTCCAGCACGTGGATTCCACCTTTGAAAACCCAGCTGACCATGTGTTTTGTACGCCGGCCCTTCATTGTTTTGTTCTCAACCCTGGGCCATGTGTCGCTGCGTGTTCACTTTACATTGGGCGACCTGAAATTGAACCTGACAAGTGCATGTGATGAACCTGGCTTGAAAACTCTTCCCAAATACACAGTATAAGGTCTGCGCACGATGATGCCATGGTCTTCAGAACCAGTGACGACAACCTCCAAATTCCAAGCCAGTGGGGTGATTTGACCAATGATTAACCAAAATGCTCTGGCTCTGCTCATCCAAAACAAAATGATGCCAGCAATGCCAACCCAAATCCCTCCACAGATCCCAGGCAGGCCTTGCCACCCAGCCCCCAACATCCACAGGAAACGCCTCAGCTGATAAGCTTGGACCGCTGAAAATACTGCGCCGGAGCCGAGGCATCCACCCGCAGCATGGCCCGCAAAGATCTGCATGACTTTGCCAGTCGGTGCCCACCACATCCAAGCCATGGTGTCGTTTGACCCTGCCAGAATGGCATGACCTGAGTCAAGGCTTTGCCGCTATGCCACTTCTGCAAATGACTCACAGAAAAGCAGAAATCCAACGAACCTTCGTCCAGAAGAGAGGAGGTCTTCCGCAACCATGTCTTCATCACATGATCGCTTTCGGCCCCACCGCTACCACCAGACCCAACTACTGGGCAGAGCACCTTTCGGATGCCAAAGTATCCATTCCACTTCCTGCAGGTTTTGTCCAAGGCCTTACACCCATTGAATCTTGACTGCCTGGCCTTGGAGGGCCCTTCCAAGCATTGAACCAGTGATCCATCACCACTGTTCCATATCCTGCTGCGTTGGAGCTGGTTACCTTGGGTTCTTTGGAATTTCGCCCGTTTCTAACCCCCGAAAAGATCAAGAAAAGTCATGAAAAAAATTATCCCATCATTAACTACATATCTTACATATGGAATCGGATGTTAATTTTCTATCCTACTGTCCCGCGGGGAAAAAAACACGACACACGTCCGCCTCACGGTGCCGTCGTAAGATCCTGTGGCTGCATAGACACCATCCGTGCTAAAAGCAACCTCGGCAATCGGAAAGGCTTGAAACATTGGGAAAATATGGGAAAATAGACTAAAATAGACCGTAACTTAATGGAGAATATTTGGATGTGGGTCAAAATGGAAGACCTAGGGGACCACAGATGTTAGTCTAGTTTAGTATTAACCATCCAATTATTGGGGTACCTAATTTTGACCCATACCCATTTATACATATTAAATCAATGATATACAATGCAGCAATCCTGCTTCACGAAGTTGATCCGAAAAACTGAGCAGCCAGCATCCACTACTGAATCCGTGTGTCCTTGCCTCAAAAAGCAGATGGTTCCACAGGCTGATCTGAAGAACTGAAACTTTGAAGCACATCTGAAGACTTGAGTCATCTTGAGTCCAAAGCAGGCGACATCTCTCTTTGCATTTGCAGCCGCCGGTCTCCTGAAAAATTCACAAGTAATCAAAGGGCAACTTCCCGCAAGACCAAATACAGTATATATGCTTTGCGTTCGCACAAGAACCTGAGAGGAGGGGACGAAAGACAGGGACTAGTTGGAAGGGAGGCAGGAGAGTGGAGAGCATGGCAGGGATTGCGCTTGGGGGTTGGTTGAGGCATCGTTTGGGAGGCTGAGGAGCCGGCATGGTGAGGCCTGCTTTGGGTGCGCCCGTGGTGTGTCTTTGGAGAGAAGGAAGGAATGTGTAGGAAGAAGGAGCGGGGAAAAGAAGTGTTATAATGGCAGGGAAAGTGTGAAGAGCGTGTTTGAGGAAGTGGAATGGCGGGCTCTTTTAAAGAGGTTTTGGGGCGCAAAGGAGCCCGGAAGGAGAGAGGAGGTATTTACGGGACAGGGTGGTGTCGGCGGCAAGGGAAGCAAGGAGGAATGGGTTACAGGCGGCTGTGGAGAAGGAATCTCTGTGGGGTGTCTGGAAAATGCAGTGAAGGGGGATGGGAATGCAGTGAGCTGGTGGGACCAACAGCAAACCCTCACCACACGCAATGCCCACCTACTACCGAACGCTGCACATACACCGCTAAACCTACCACTCCTACGCGCATAGTTGCCTCAAATTGTCCACTTTTTCCCCACATCCTCTGCTTTGACTTCATTCCGAACGAGCAACTTCACCTTGCCTGGCCTGCAGCAAACATTCCAACCCCCCCCACCCCCAGGCATCAGCAGCCATCTGCAACCTTCACCCTGCGGGCTCCTTTGCTTCCCAGCAGCCACCTAAAAGAGCCCCACCCCAAAAGGCCCGCCCAAGCCACGCTCTTTCTTCCCTCCAACCTTCTCGCCCCATCACACACCTCGCCCCGGAACTCCAATCCGTACGCGCCTTCCACCACCTTCATTCCTGCCACCTTTACACCCCCACAGACGTGCGCCTGGGAGGAATCGATACCCCACCATCACCCAATTGCCACCTGGTACATCAGCCTCAAAATCGACCACGGCTATTAGGTGCATAATTGCCTCAAAATTGTCCATGTTTTCAGCCACCCCCCCAGAACCCCTATTCTCACTTCGTTCGCAATGAGCAACTTCGCCTTGCCTGAAAGCTGGCTTTCGTAAAATCAAGGGATCAAATACCCTTCAGGTTTCAAAGATGATCCAATTGGATGACATTGGAAGTTTTGCGACAGTTTATGACACTTACAATTTCAACTGACTGTCCTCCTCGATCGTCCACAGCACCGCAACATCATCCTGGCCATCAGCATTCAAAAAGCAACTGCCTACGGTCAATCAAAAAAACCCTCCATCAAGCTATCCGGCTTGGTGGTTTCCTTAGTCCGTTTCCCAGTGGGTTGAGGTTGAGCGCCGGCATGACCTGTCCACCAGTCAAGAGCATGCTCCGATTCGTCGGGCTGATGGCCACCGAGAGGACACTCTCCGCATGGACCTCAGCCGGTGCCGTGGCCACCAAATCATCAGTTGCTGCTGGTGGATGCCCATCTTGGCCACACCAAGCACCAAGGACTGACAAACTGGGCTCCCAGCAACCTTCACCTCAGCTGATGCAACGGCGATCAGGAAAGGAAACCAAATGGAGCGCCAAAACGCGCCGAACCAGTCTAGGTTCTTTTGAAGAGCAAGTCACCAAGGCGTCATCTACATGAGGACCGGCGTCCTGCAAGGCCAACAGCGGCGGAAGTTTTGGGGACGACTTGATATTTCTACACCTTGTTTCTTACAATGTTTACAACAAATGAGCTACAGCAAGGGCATAACTTGACAGTCGAGTCAATAATTATTCAAATGAGGCCAGTGAGGAATTGCATGGAAACCCTAAACCTCCTTTCACCCCATCTCCCTTCTGTACCTCATCTGAGTAGATTTCGTTCTCCGGAACCACACCAATCTGCAAGCGGCTTTGCAGAATAATTCTTGGACATCGTCGACACAGTCATCCCTACCTCCTCATCTTCACCCATTTCATCGCCTGGAAAAAACTGAGCACGTAGAGATTTCACAGAGTTTGATGACAGAACTCATTGCAAAACTGGTTTCATCAAAGGCCCTTCCCCAATCCAAACTAATTACCAGGAGGAAACAAGTTGGTAGGAGTACTTTCACAAAAAAGTAGAGGAAGAAAGCAGAATCAAGCAGGGCTGCCGTCATCGTCTGGTAGCTCATCATCGTCCTCATGCTCGCACCATGCTCTACATGCCATTTCCATTACGGTCCGCCTCCGAACAGATCAGCGAAACCCAGAACAAGTCAGCCAACCTGTTTGGGAGGCATTTGTTTGTTTCATTGTTTTTCCTGTTTCTTTCCCCCTCCTTGTTTTTTTTGCGTGGAATCTGACCTCGAAAACTCTCCAGGTCGTGAAGTTGCAACTCAAAAACTCTTCCCCACAGACTTGCAAAGGGGGTGGCCTAGAAATAAGCGGGAACCTAAATAAAATGCTGAGTTTGACCCCCCCCCCGAGATCAAGACCCTAATTTTGGTGACCTTCCTAAAAATCCATAGAAAAAGTCCATTCTAATTGCATTCTGAACCAGTTTGGATTCCATTTCAATTTCAAGTGGAAGTGCTTAGAGCCAATTCTCACCGGAAAAAAAAACATGAATACATTTCTCAAATAACATTCAATTATTAGGCAATTTGTTTGGCAATACTTAGAATGCTGATATGTTGAGTCCCAAGAAGTATATTTGGCCCGAATTTTACTCGGATAACGATATTGTTTGGGGGTTTATACTCAGACGTAGACACAGTGTAAAAATATATATGTACATAGTGACATGACAGAAACCTCATAAATCTCAACGTAAACGCTGACATCAACACAAAGAATACATCATGTACGCATGTTTTCCAAATAAATCTGCATGTCCCCAGGTGTCCTCAAATTCCACCTCCAAACACTCGCCAGTTCTGAACTCACTATCGAGCTCCTAGAACCATTAAAGTACAACGATGTATAACGTACCCCATTTCTGAACAAACCGAATGATTGCATGATGTTTCAGCCTTTCCCTCACAAGAAAAGCCAAGCAAGTCGTCCTGTCCCTCCGCACCACCATCCCAACCAATGACATCCATGTCCTTCAGAGAGACTCACAGGCACGTTGGCACGTTCTATTGTGAAATTCTGAGAGATCCTGGTCGGCACCACCTGATCCCTGCCCGGCCATCGCCTTCCAATTCAGGGCAGACTGGTGCTAATCATTTCAATTGCTGAGACATGTCTGAACCACGTCCATCCACAGGTTCTCTCCATCGCAGTGTTTTGAAGCTCTACCGGGCCTGGTCTTAGTGAGATAGTGGGCCAATATCAAATCAATGTTTGAAAATGCTGAACAATTAGTTCCAGTTTCAACTCTGCACTCAGCTGCAAGTTGCTTTGAGGATGGACCATATTTTTCTTGTCCAAAGTATATGCACGTCTTGATCACTACCAGTGTCGCGGAGGGCTAGGTTAAGCACTGCTTTGCACCCTAGCATTTGTTCATACACGTGCGTATACATGTGATTTGCAAAGTAAAAATCTAAACATGTTTTCATGCAGCTTTGAAACTGGTCTGAATAAGCTTGGATCGCTAAACAACGGCAGCGGAAATTCGTTGTACCAGCAGCCACTCCTCCAACTCAAGACATGGTGCAAATGGCAAGGCAGTCTGCCTGCTTCAATTTCGATGTTTTTATAGTTACTAAACAAAATGTCTGGGAAATTGAAAGGTTTATCAGCGATCACCGGGATGTCTTGCAACGATCACTGCAACTAGCCGAAGGTGTCCCTGGTGTGGATCAAAATCAATATCTGGAGAGGCGCCCACATTTTTGGCTGACAGGCACTCAAGTAGATACAAGGCAACCAATGAGACCTGAGGGTGCAAGACGGTAAAATGAACGCATCACACGTGGAACTCTTTCACAGTCTGAGTTGGGGACCGGCAACAAGAACCTTAGAAGGATTAATGACGGCAAACGCAAACATGTTTTTTGAGTGAGCAAAACGGGCATAGGGCGGTTTGTTCAACAAATGTCACCCACACACTTCACATCTCCACATGGATGTATATATAGTTCATAACTTAATTTATTTAGATGCATAGGTTGCATTGCGCTAAATTGCGTTACACTAGTTACATCATGTTCTTAAAGCAAGATTAGATGAGAAATCCTGACGGGGGGCAAGTGTCAATGAGCAACAGCAATTCCAGACCACAGCACACTTAACACAGTAGCGAATGGAATCATTAGATCATGGTAAGAGTCAGCGTGCAAAACATGTCTTTGTGCACATGAGTGACCGGGTAAAGCAAAGGAAGTGTGCGAAACATCCTTTTGTTGCAGATTTTGGTGGCTCCAGCGATCGCCTGTTTTAGCGCTTGCCGGCCTGGGTTCGGGAAACCTGCCTGAAAAAATTGCGCCAGACTGTAGGGCGAGCTCGATTTTGCTAAAAAATGTCAAAAGTGCAGGAGACTGCACCGAGAGCTTGAGTTTTCAATAAACATTTAAGAAAAAACGGTCGGAGACTAGCGCCAACCGTGCTTTGCAGGGATGCAACGTGTCGTTGCTGAAAGTGGTGAAACGCTGGGTCAAGAGAAGAAGTGCTTGACTAAGAAAAGAGTTGGCTCAGGGCAGCTCAGAGTTGGCTTTTTAGTGGTTCCAGGCCAGTGTTTCCCATCCAACCGCTGACAGCTTTAGGGGAAGTCCTAGCCGTCCTAGCCAGCAATAAGGCCGCAACATCTCGCTTTAAGCCCCGACCAATGAAAAGCATTTTGCTCTTCGTTGTCATGGCCGTGCTGGCCTGCCAAGCGATTGACATCTCAGCACGAAAAAGAACCAGATCTGGGTCTGTCTTTATATCGTCTCGTGCTTCAAGTTGCAATGCTCACTGTGTGCACAAGCTCTTCATTGGTGGTATCACTGAGTTTCAACCGCAAGTTCTCTCATGAAAAGAAATGGCAAACACTACTTTGCAAGATCTCGTGCCATGTATCTTCAAATCGTAATTTCAACCACAAGTTCTCTCATGAAAAGAAATGGCAAACACTACTTTGCAAGATGTCGTGCCATGTATCTTCAAATTGTAATTTCAACCACAAGTTCTCTCATGAAAAGAAATGGCAAACACTACTTTGCAAGATGTCCGTCCATGTATCTTCAAATTGTAATTTCAACCACAAGTTCTCTCATGAAAAGAAATGGCAAACACTACTTTGCAAGATGTCCGGCCATGTATCTTCAAATTGTAATTTCAACCACAAGTTCTCTCATGAAAAGAAATGGCAAACACTACTTTGCAAGATAAGGTGCCATGTATCTTCAAATCGTAATTTCAACCACAAGTTCTCTCATGAAAAGAAATGGCAAACACTACTTTGCAAGATGTCCGGCCATGTATCTTCAAATTGTAATTTCAACCACAAGTTCTCTCATGAAAAGAAATGGCAAAAACTACTTTGCAAGATGTCCGGCCATGTATCTTCAAATTGTAATTTCAACCACAAGTTCTCTCATGAAAAGAAATGGCAAACACAACTTTGCAAGATGTCCGGCCATGTATCTTCAAAATGTAATTTCAACCACAAGTTCTCTCATGAAAAGAAATGGCAAACACTATTTTGCAAGATGTCGTGCCATGTATCTTCAAATTGTAATTTCAACCACAAGTTCTCTCATGAAAAGAAATGGCAAACACAACTTTGCAAGATGTCCGGCCATGTATCTTCAAATTATAATTTCAATCACAAGTTCTCTCATGAAAAGAAATGGCAAACACTACTTTGCAAGATGTCCGGCCATGTATCTTCAATTATAATTTCAATCACAAGTTCTCTCATGAAAAGAAATGGCAAACACTACTTTGCAAGATGTCCGGCCATGTATCTTCAAATTATAATTTCAATCACAAGTTCTCTCATGAAAAGAAAATGGCAAACACTACTTTGCAAGATGTCCGGCCATGTATCTTCAAATTGTAATTTCAACCAGAAGTTCTCTCATGAAAAGAAATGGCAAACACTACTTTGCAAGATGTCCGGCCATGTATCTTCAAATTGTAATTTCAATCACAAGTTCTATCATGAAAAGAAATGGCAAACACTACTTTGCAAGATAGGGTGCCATGTATCTTCAAATCGTAATTTCAACCACAAGTTCTCTCATAAAAAGAAATGGCAAACACTACTTTGCAAGATGTCCGGCCATGTATCTTCAAATTGTAATTTCAACCACAAGTTCTCTCATGAAAAGAAATGGCAAACACTACTTTGCAAGATGCCGTGCCATGTATCTTCAAATTATAATTTCAATCACACGTTCTCTCATGAAAAGAAATGGCAAACACTACTTTGCAAGATGTCCGTCAATGTATCTTCAAATTGTAATTTCAACCACAAATTCTCTTATAAAAAGAAATGGCAAACATATGCAAACACTACTTTGCAAGATGTCCGGCCATGTATCTTCAAATTGTAATTTCAACCGCAAGTTCTCTCATGAAAAGAAATCGCAAACACGCCTTTGCAAGATGTCCGGCCATGTATCTTCAAATTGTAATTTCAACCACAATTCTCTCATAAAAAGAAATGGCAAACACAACTTTGCAAGATGTCCCGGCCATGTATCTTCAAATTGTAATTTCAACCACAAGTTCTCTCATGAAAAGAAATGGCAAACACTACTTTGCAAGATGTCGTGCCATGTATCTTCAAATTGTAATTTCAACCACAAGTTCTCTCATGAAAAGAAATGACAAACACTAATTTGCAAGATGTCCGGCCATGTATCTTCAAATTGTAATTTCAACCACAAGTTCTCTCGTGAAAAGAAATGGCAAACACTACTTTGCAAGATGTCCGGCCATGTATCTTCAAAATGTAATTTCAACCACAAGTTCTCTCATGAAAAGAAACGGCAAACACTATTTTGCAAGATGTCGGGCCATATATCTTCAAATTGTAATTTCAATCACAAGTTCTCTCATGAAAAGAAATGGCAAAAACTACTTTGCAAGATGTCCGGCCATGTATCTTCAAATTGTAATTTCAACCACAAGTTCTCTCATGAAAAGAAAAGGCAAACACTACTTTGCAAGATGTCCGGCCATGTATCTTCAAATTGTAATTTCAACCACAAGTTCTCTCATGAAAACAAATGGCAAACACTACTTTGCAAGATGTCCGGCCATGTATCTTCAAATTGTAATTTCAACCACAAGTTCTCTCATGAAAAGAAATGGCAAACACTACTTTGCAAGATGTCCGGCCATGTATCTTCAAATTGTAATTTCAATCACAAGTTCTCTCATGAAAAGAAATGGCAAAAACTACTTTGCAAGATGTCCGGCCATGTATCTTCAAATTGTAATTTCAATCACAAGTTCTCTCATGAAAAGAAATGGCAAAAACTACTTTGCAAGATGTCTGGCCATGTATCTTCAAATTGTAATTTCAACCACAAGTTCTCTCGTGAAAAGAAATGGCAAACACTACTTTGCAAGATGTCCGGCCACGTATCTTCAAATTGTAATTTCAATCACAAGTTCTCTCATGAAAAGAAATGGCAAACACTACTTTGCAAGATGTCCGGCCATGTATCTTCAAATTATAAGTTCAACCACAATTTCTCTCACAAAAAGAAATGGCAAACACTACTTTGCAAGATGTCCGGCCATGTATCTTCAAATTGTAATTTCAACCACAAGTTCTCTCATGAAAAGAAATGACAAACACTACTTTGCAAGATGTCCGGCCATGTATCTTCAAACGATAATTTCAACCACAATTCTCTCATAAAAAGAAATGGCAAACACTACTTTGCAAGATGTCCGGCCCTGTATCTTCAAATTGTAATTTCAACCGCAAGTTCTCTCATGAAAAGAAACGGCAAACACTATTTTGCAAGATGTCCGGCCATATATCTTCAAATTGTAATTTCAACCACAAGTTCTCTCATAAAAAGAAATGGCAAATACTACTTTGCAAGATGTCCGGCCATGTATCTTCAAATTATCCGCCGACCCCGCTTGCAGCAGGGGGAGCGCGTCAGAGGAGGAATTACCAGCAGCAAGGGCCAACAAGTCATTACAAGCAGCAAGGGCAAGAAGCAAGAAAACAAGAAAGAAGAAGCAAGAAGCAAGAAGCAATTCCGGCAGGCCCGGTCCGTCCCTCAGGGCCCTGCTGTTTGGCTGTGGCGCAGGCGCCGTTTTGGGTCAGACAGCTAAGTTTTCTTGTAGGTTCAGAAAGCAACGTTAGGCGCTCACGGCCGTGGCCCGCAGGCCCGGTCCGTCCTTCACTGCCATGGTGTTTGAGGCCTGCGACAGGGTCCTTGGACTCGAGCTGACGGCAGGAAACAGCAAGGTTTGAAGCTAGTTTCTAGGCAGCTCAGACAGCAACGTTTGGCAGTATGGGCTGCCGGCCGCGGGCCCGATCCGTCCTTCACTGCCATGGTGTTTGAGGCCTGCGACAGGGTCCTTGGACCCGAGCTGACGGCAGGAAAAAGCAAGGTTTGAAGCTATAGTTTTTAGGCAGTTCAGAAAGCAACGTTTCGCAGTATGGGCTGCCAGCCGCGGGCCCGATCCGTCCTTCACTGCCATGGTGTTTGAGGCCTGCGACAGGGTCCTTGGACCCGAGCTGACGCCAGGAAACAACAAGGTTTGAAGCTATAGTTTCTAGGCAGTTCAGAAAGCAACGTTTGGCAGTATGGGCTGCCGGCCGCGGGCCCGATCCGCCCTTCACTGCCGCGACAGGGTCCTTGGACTCGAGCTGACGGCAGGAAACAGCAAAGTTTGAAGCTAGTTTCTAGGCAGTTCAGAAAGCAACGTTTGGCAGTATGGGCTGCCGGCCGCGGGCCCGATCCGTCCTTCACTGCCATGGTGTTTGAGGCCTGCGACAGGGTTCTTGGACCCGAGCTGACGGCATGAAAAAGCAAAGTTTGAAGCTAGTTTCTAGGCAGTTCAGAAAGCAACGTTTGGCAGTATGGGCTGCCGGCCGCGGGCCCGATCCGTCCTTCACTGCCATGGTGTTTGAGGCCTGCGACAGGGTCCTTGGACCCGAGCTGATGGCATGAAAAAGCAAAGTTTGAAGCTAGTTTCTAGGCAGTTCAGAAAGCAACGTTTGGCAGTATGGGCTGCCGGCCGCGGGCCCGATCCGCCCTTCACTGCCATGGTGTTTGAGGCCTGCGACAGGGTCCTTGGACCCGAGCTGACGCCAGGAAACAACAAGGTTTGAAGCTAGTTTCTAGGCAGTTCAGAAAGCAACGTTTGGTAGTATGGGCTGCCGGCCGCGGGCCCGATCCGTCCTTCACTGCCATGGTGTTTGAGGCCTGCGACAGGGTCCTTGGACCCGAGCTGACGGCAGGAAAAAGCAAGGTTTGAAGCTATAGTTTCTGCCCGAATGCTTCTCACCATGCCTGCAGCTCAGCCGCCTCAGCCACACACATGGCAAGGCATCTGTCAACCTCGGCTCATTTCTCTTTGAAACGATCCAGACACCGTGGCAACCCCCTTGCTGTCGCATCGATTCACCGACGGCACCCTTGCAGTTCACGGACGCGCAGAAGTGCGTCCACGGACACTGAAACAGCTTGTCGCTCATCGCCGAGCATGCTTGCGATCTAAACCCTCGCAAGGTCTCCCCACCCGCGGGGAGACGTTTAGGGGCAGCCTAGTGCCTAACGTTGCTTTCTGAAACCAGAAGAAAATCTCCAGGAAAGCGCCCGGCAGGTGGCCAAGGGCGCCGGGAGACGTTTAGGGGCAGCCTAGTGCCCTTCCAAACAAGCCGGGTTGACAGTTGGCCTTCTCTG